CTCGGAAAAGTCCATTTTTCCGTAAAATGGAATAAACATTATGATACTATATGATGAGATTTGTAGTTTACTTTTATGTGAGCTATTTATTTATTGTTTTGACATAGGTGACAATTTAAATTATTACTTTTTAGATTGCTACTTCAAAACGTTATTTAATTTAACACGCCTCACGAGATCACGATGATTGTTTTTTCGTGATTACGATTCACGATGATTTGGTTTCATTATATCTAATTTTTTACAGGTGCTTCGGCCCGAATTCGCGCACAACACCCGCCATACCCGGAGGTTTTCAACCGCCGTCACTTGATCCTTTGAATCTGTCGCGAGAAATCGTTCAGCTGTACCGTCACGCGGGTATTTTTTGCCAAAGAACAAGTATATTGCATGATTGATTAAGAACGTGACCAAACTGCATATCTAATAAAAAAAATATATTTAATAGAAAATTTTGTTTGTTGCAGGCGGAAGTGACATCTTAAATGTAGAAATTTTGTCGCAAGACAACATTTCACAAGAAAAAGAAGAGAACCAAGCAAAGCAAGAGTAAGTAATTTTATATTTCTTATCATTGTGACAGAGTTGGCGTGTTTAATAATATTAATATTATTCAATATTTATGTTCTAGATCGGAAAACACCCTTCGTTTAAAAAAACGGAAAAGGGAGGATGAGGATTTAAAATATTGAAGTAGAGCAGATCGACCGAGTTATTATTTTCTTTAGAAGATTCTGAAGAACATTAAGAATATAAGGCCGATACGAGCCATTCCCAGGATGTTAAGCGGGAACTTGTACGTGCATACATATATGTATACATCTATAAATTTACAAGTATTACTTGTAAATTTCTACAAGTGAGTTTTTTGAATTGAAAATTCAATTCTAAAATTCATACGGGATGCGGGATTTGCGGTCACTTTAATGTTTGTAAGTCATACATATATGGATGTTAAAATGTCATTTTACAAAAACTGCCTCCATTTTTTAGCTATGACAAACTATAGCATAAGATCCGCCGTTTGCACCACTATATTTGCATTACAATCATTAAATGATAATTTTATTTCTAGACATGATGTATTAGCTTTTCAAATATAATATATAAACTTATTGTCGTGAGCCTTTTCACGTACAATATAACATAGATACATAGATGTTATCTGTTGCAACGTCTACTTGTTAGCTGTCGTTTTGAATATAATGAACTTCGTTGCAGTTTTGACCACAACCACTTCAAACAGTGTGAAAGTACAGAGACCACAACCGCTTCAAAAGTGTATTTATTAAAATTTAATCATTTCAGATTCGTTGTCTAAATTTCAGTTACTCGATGACGACATGTTTAGTTCATTAGACAACAATTAGCGATTGACTGAGAATTAATCTCGGGCTCTGACGTCTTTTAAACGGATAAATAATATATGAATAGTCGTGAAGAGCCGTTTGCTGGATGTTATGGAAAATATGTCTATATATATATGCACCGAAAAAATTATATTTTCGTAAGTAGAAGATTTTATACTTAAAAAATCTTCTTAAAGATTTTAGATGATATTTTTCTGAAATTAAGAATATATTCTTTATTTAAGAATATAGTCTTTTTCGATAGTGAGATGTATATGTTTTTCTATAAAGGCTTTTTATATTCTTATCAATATTACTATTTAAAGGATTTTCCTCTTAAAATAAGAAACTTTTCTTGGCGCTTAATTTAGTATAAAATATACTTAAAGTAAGTGGGATATCCTCAAAACAAGAATACAATTTTTTCGGTGTGGGCGTGTACACACATATAAACGAATTCACGTTTTCACGTGTTTTTGAATTAAAATTTTAATTCATAAAATCATACAAGAAGCTATACTTGCATCTCATGTATGAAGGACCCCGTATACTCTTCGAACTAATTTTAAAATATTGCGAAAGAAACTCCTCAGCCAGGAGTCAAACCTGGAGTCGAACCTAGTTCATTAAACATTTTCTTTTGATAGAGCATCTCGTAATTTTTATTGTGTATTGCATAGTGATTATTGTCACTGTTAGTGCGGTTAATGCTGCTATTGCTACTACAATTGCGTAAAGACATCTGATTCTGTCTGTTACTGGAAGATTTTGTCATCAAGTTCGAGTCTGTCGAATTTTTCCGCACATTCTCTATCAAATAATTCCGAAGCCCTTGGTATTTTATATTGACCGGTTTTTTGGTTGTATTAGATTCAGAGCAACTGTCTGTATCGCATTTAGATGAATCTAATGTTACATCTGCGTTAGAATTTCCATCTTCCTCCATTTTCTGACTGGATGTTTTTTCGCATATTTCACCATTTTTATTTACGGGACATTTTTCTGTCAATTTCTCACAAGAGGATACGTCATTGATTCCAACAGATTTCGCAGTGGAATTTGAAATATCACAAGATGCGCTATTGATCTCAACAGAAGTACTACTCGTAGTAGAATTTAATGTATCTTGAGATTAATCGCTATCACGCACAAGTTTCATTACATTGACGGGTACGGTTACAGCTATTTACTCGTCAGTAGGTATTTCCACTCTTTGTTCCAGACTTGTTATAGTCCGAGACATGTTGGTAATGGTATGCTTGACATTCATATAGGGTGTCCAGATATACTTTCTTTCGGCTTCTCTTTCAGCTAACTGCTGAAAATATGGACATGGTCTAATAGGTTTTTCTAATAAGGTGACATTTCTCTGTGTTTCATTCTCTTCCATGTTTGTAAGCTTAAGTTTTGTTGCAAGACTGTTTGAGTTGTAACATGCTGTAACAGTCTTTTGAGGAGAATCGTCCTTGAAGTTTGCAGACCAATCACAAGGCACTTCATGACCCTGCCCACTATATATACTAGAAAATTGTCCAAACACACTTCTCTTATCGAGTATCTTATCGACGAAATCTTTCATCTCACATCTCGAAATCAAATTTGAATTTATTTCCGTTCCTACATTGCTCTCTTGCGTATCACGTTCAAAACTCTCATTTGTTTTTGATGTGCAAACGCTCGAATTCGAGGAAAAAGTGGCATTCATCGTTTTTTGCTTTTCTGAAAAGCAGCTAATTTTTCAAGTAATTTCGATGGTTTCATTTGCGAATGAGTTTTCGATTGCAATTTAGAATTTTGCGAGTTAATATTCTTTAATTTAAGCAATAACTTTTCTCCGCTGAACGGGACGTTACACGAAGCCTTGACATTCTGTTTTTCTCTATTTTTGCTCTCTTTGACGGATAATCTCTCAGATGTTTGGGCTCTCTTTTTTCTATTTTGTGTTTTATCTATATTAATTGTTAACAAGACATATATAAGGCCTTACGAGCCATTCGCAGGATGTTTGAGCAGAAACGGTACGTGTATATATATACATACACACACATGTAACGAATTCAACTTGTAAATTTTTTTTTACAAGTGAGTGTTTTTTGAGTAGAAAACTCAATTCTTACAATCATAAGGGATGCTGGATTTGCATCTCACATATGACAGACCGCGGATATTCCCCTAACTAATTTTAAAATTGCGAAAAAAACTCCTCAGCCAGGAGTCGAACCTGGAATCTCCGGCTTTCCGTGCTATATATATACAGGGTGTCTCAGAATTGCCGTACAATCTCTCGTAGGCAGGTAAAAGGAATAAAACTGAATCGAAAAGTCCTGAACCATTTTTTTCTATTATTTACAATAAAGGAGTAAATTATTGAGTAAATCAGGCCAATCAGCGCCGACCTTTAGCCAGGCGCACGTCAGTGAGCCACGCGCCTGGTGTGTGTGAGCGGTACTTTGACTGGACTATTATAGGTTGTATCAATCTCACGCGATAATTTATGTTTCAATATCAACCTTCATAATGTATTTAACTTTGTGACAATGCAACATAGGAAAGATAAAAAGAAATAGTTTAAATAAAGGTAAATTATATATATAAGAAATAAATAAAAAGAAAATTTTGGATCTGTAATTATCATTAACGCAATCTCTCTCTCTCTCTCTCTCTCTCTCTCACTTCTGTGAGAAGTGCATTTCTTGTTCGGGATATCAAAGTCTCGCAAGACGGGTGGACACTTTACGTGGATACAAGGTGCTGACGTGTGTAAGTGGATCACAGGTGAATGATCGCTTGTGCTGATATTAACGAATCTGGTCGGTAATTATCGGCATGGACGATGAATATGCAGAATACCGATGTTCGGCATGTAAGAAGGCAATAAAAAGCAAAGTTGTTAAGTGCAAGTCTTGTGTCAAACATTTTTACCATCCGAGATGTATATGTAAACATAGAGTTTATGATAAAAATCGAGAATTGGTGCAGTGTGCTGGTCCGTTTGAAGAGTTTTTCGTTGAAAACGGCCAAGAAGCAAGTATGAAGAAAGCTCCGACGACGACGGGGAGCAGCAGGAATAGGACAGGATCTACAGGGTCTGTAGGTTCTGCGGGGCCGTTTACGGCACCGAGTAGTGGAAATAAGTTATCAGGAGTGAATGGATTGACTGGCATTGATATAAAAATAGATTATCTTGTAAGAACTGTGAAAGAAATCAAAGATGAAACTACCTGTAAAAAAGAAATTAAAATGATGATTAAAGAGATAGTTCGAGAGGAATTGGGAAACGTTAAACACGAACTGGAAAATCTAAGAAGAATGATACAGGGAGTANTGCGCGAACCAGCGTCAGGAACGCAAAGAAGCTACAGTAAAGCAGTCAAAAAAATAAAGAGAGAAAATATTATAATTGGGAAGCCAAAATTGGAACAAAAAAGTGAAACCACAAAAAAGTTAATAAAAAAAAAAGTGGATATTAAGAACATGGCGATGGGAATAACAAAATTAAGAAAAGGAAGCAAGGGAACTGTAATAATGGGATGTGAAACTGGAGAGGAAGTAAACAAGTTGAAGGAGACAGTTTAAACTAAACTAGGAGAAAATTATAAAGTAGTGGAATCACCACAATCAAAGCCGAAATTAAAAATTATTAATGTAAAGATGGAAGAGATAAATTTAAGTGATGATAAACTTATATCTACGATAAAAAGACAGAATAAAATTGATACAATGAATATGCGAATAGTGAAGAAAATAATGAAAGGAAAGAAAAATAATGACAACCAGTCTAAAAAACGAGAAGGTAAAGAGGGATCAATAATAGTAGAAACANATGATGAAACACACGAGTTGATTCTGAAGAAAAGTAAACTAAATATAGGATGGAAGAAATGTCCTCTATTTAATCATGTTAGTGTTAAAAGATGTTTTAAATGCTGGGGTTATTATCACATAGCTAACAACTATGTGAGAGACGAGACATGTCACAAATGTGCAGGAAATCACAACTCGAATGACTGTTCAGCGACAAAGAAGAAGTGTGTAAATTGTATGTTCAAAATTCGAACATACAACTTAAAACTAAATGACGAGCACGACGCTCTCAGTGTGGAGTGTCCAACATTTAAGAGAGCATTGCAAGAAGAGAAGAGGAGAGCTGGCTGGAAGGACACTAAATAGCAACTACAGGAAGATGTGGAGCTAATGCTATACACAAATGCGCAAAGTCTAACGGCGCATAAAGATGAGATACAGCGTCAGATTTTGAAGAAAATAAATCCTGCATTCTTAGCACTGTCGGAAACTAGATTGCCTGATGAGATTGATGATAGTGAAGTGAGCGTTCAGGGTTATAGTATAGTTAGGTGTAATACTGAGAACAGAAATACAGAAGGAGTTGTTTTATATATAAAGGACGATGTTAAATATGAAATAGTATTAGCAAAAACCTTAAAATTAAACTGTTGGTGTGTAGCGGTAGAAGTAAAAGAAAAATGGTGTAAAAAGGTGATTATGGTAGTATATCATTCACCAAGCGCATCGCATGGTGCCTTTATGAGATTTCTGGAAGTTATAGTAGAGGAGTTAACAATAAAAGAAGAATGTATAGCAATTGGTGACTTTAATATAGATCTTATGTTAGATTCCTTTTATGCGAAGAAACTGCAAACGACAATGCTGAGCTTAGGTATGAAACAATACGTTAATAAACCGACAAGAATCACGAAAGACAGTCAGACAATCATTGATTTAATCTTCGCAAATAAAGATAGTTTAGAAGTACAGGTAGTTTACGAACCTAAAATTACGGATCACGCATGGCTTCAAGTTAAACTTGGTGCTAATAGAAGTGAAAATAACTATAGAGAATTTAGCGCTAGAAGCTTTAAGGAATTTGATGTAAGTGAATTTACCAGGTTAGTGGCGAATAAATTGCATAACAAACAAGATATGGATGTCAGTGTGAAAGCGACAAAGCTAGTTAACAGCATAATAGAAGCGTTAGATGTAGTAGCGCCGATAAGAAAGTTTAGAATTCCGAAAGTGTGGGAAGGGAAAAAATGGTTCTCAGATGAAATAAGAGAAGCAGCTGATAGAAGGGATAAAGCATACAAAAAAGCGATTTTTGAAAATAGTGAGCAAAATTGGTTGCAGTTTAAAACTGAAAAGAATACAGTTGTAAAATTAATTAGAGATAAAAAAAGAGAGTATTATGAAAGTATGATAGATCTCAACAAGGAAAATTCTACGACTATGTGGAAAACTTTGAAAGAAATAATTAAAGGTGAGCCAGTAGGAACAAAGATAGTAGAAAGTATAGATTTTGAAATCTTAGATAATATTGATGAGCCGAATGTAGCCGATAAGTTTAATTTATACTATGTAAAGAGTATTAATAATATAGTGCAATCTATAAATGTAGATAGGTTCAACGGTACAAATAAAAAAAGTATTTATGTTATCGAGAACAAAGGAAGTATGGAAAATTTCGAGATGATAGGAACAGACAAGTTAGAAAAAAGTGTTATGAGCTTACGAAAAAAAAAAGGTACGGATGAGGGCATAACTAGTGATGTATTAAAAGCAGCTTTCTGCGTAATAAAAGAAGAGTTTGCAAATGTAATAAATAGTTCTTTGAGAGTTGGTTGCTGTCCGAAAGGATGGAAAACTTCGACGATAGTNCCGATACCAAAAATAGATAAAGCGAGAAAAGCAAGTGAATACAGACCTATTAATATATTACCAGTATTTCAGAAAGTGTTAGAATTAATAGTAAAAGAACAATTTGAAATGTATCTAGAAAGTAATGCTATTATTACAGAGCATCAGTCGGGGTTTAGAAAACAGTATTCGTGCGAAACAGCGATTCAAACTGTCATTGATGAATGGAAACTAGTAGTAAGTGAGGGGCAAATGGGGGGGGTGGGAGTAATTTTCATGGACCTTAAAAAGGCGTTTGAGACAATAGACAGAGAAAGATTATTAGGGAAATTGTATCAATATGGAATTAGAGGAGTGGTTTTAGAGTGGCTTAAATCGTATCTAAGCAATAGGAAACAGCAAGTGCGATTTAATCATAAGTGGTCTAGATTGCTAACAACAGAATATGGAGTACCAGGGATCAGTATTGGGACCTTTGTTGTTTATAATATATATAAATGATATAATCAAAGTTTGTCCAGAAGGATGCAGTATAAAAATGTTCGCTGATGACACCTTAATATACGTTAGTGGAGAAAGTAGTATGGATTTAGAGAGTAAAATGAATACAGCATTTAATGTAGTCGAGCAGTTGATGAATATAAACAAGCTAAAAATGAATGCGGGAAAAACGAAATTTATGATAGTCAGAAGTATACGAAAAGAATTGATAGGTAATATTACATTAAAATGCCTGGACGGTATTGGGATAGAGCGTGTAGAAACAATGAAGTATCTAGGTATAATTATTGATGACAAACTAAGA